GAACAGTTGTTACTAATCCTCCCCCCTTGATGAAGGAGTGCCGAATGTCCGAGCCAAATACCAAACAGACATCGCACCAAAGCCTAACATCTAAAACCGGATGCCCCAACCAGCCACCAGGACTGGATCACACACCAGACCATCGCACTCTCAGAGGCTGCTACCGCCATCTTTCACCGGTCCATCTCTGGAGCAGGAACTGACGCATCGACCTTGCCTGGTCAGCCGTCGACGCCACCACGCCACCAGACAATGCCATCATCCTGCACGTATCCATCCATATGCACCCGTCGCCGAACCTCCACAGCACCATGCCGCCGGGACCCGCCGTCGGCCTTGCGGTAGATGTAGCACCGCTCCTCCTCTTGTCCCCTCCAGTGAGCACGTCCTCCAAAATGATGCCCCCAGGAGGGACAATGACATCGAAGGTGCCATCATCGTACGATTCGGTAGACCCAGATGTAGGGTTTCCCTAGGAGCATCACGAGTGGGGTACCTCGACCTACAACAACGATGCCTCGAGAAGGGAACGACGTCACATACGTCACCATCGTCCGTCATGACCGTAGTCGGCGCGATTTTCATCGGAAGTCCCGCCCCCCCGATTTCACAGCTGATTGGAACTGTACGTAGCCTCGTCGTGAAGACGAAAGCCGTCATCGGCACGCCGGCAGGGAGCCTCTAGCCACCCCTCACCGGTCCCTCCACACGCCACCAGTTGGAAACAACCACGCCGAGGCGGACCTGGACGGGACGCCAGATTCGTGGCTTCTGCTGCCACCCATCTCCAAGCACATACTCCACCGAGGGGAAGAGCACCATACCGGCCACGGATCTGACCGCCACCGCACAGGCAAGGGGCGTCGCCCTACCTGTTGCTCGCGGATCCAACGCCGGAGTCTCCCCTGCCGCTTCCGGGAGATCCCACAGCACACCACCCGCCCTAGCGCTTTGGCGTCGGGCCCGCTGCCATCGGGGACTTGGCCGGAGGCAGGAGAGGAGATGGAAAGGGCCTGGCGGCGCTAGGGTTTGGGTCCCCTGGCATCGCCCAGGGGAGGTGACGCAAGGTGGTGAGCAGGGAATGATGTAACAAAGCTATCACCTTGTTAGGTACATATTTCTACGGTTGTTCTCTTCTTGTTTTTTTAGTGTTAGCTATTATCTTTGTGTTTAAGCTCCTTAACAAAAGAAAAGGGCGACGATAACTGCCACACGTGTGGGCGTTAAGAAGTCTGGCCACACGTTTTATGTGGTGTCTAAAAGGACCAGCCCACACGCCTATGTGTGGGCAAAACAACTAGCACCCACATGTCTCTTTTTTTCCTTGCGGTCTCTGTTACACGCCTACGTGTGGGCAAAATAGATAACTGCCACACGATCTCTCTCAGCCACCTACCTCACGGCCCCGCACGCCCCGCGTGACAGTTAGCACGCGTCCCCGCAGTTGCCATGGTCCGGACCCTCTTCAATGTCTGTTTAACTATAGTTGTCATGTCCCTGAATTACAGTTGCCATGTCGGACAACAACAGTTGCCATGGTTGCTCAACTGCAGTTGCCATCTCAGGTCAAGTGCGAGATGCCATTTTAGGCAACTGCAGCTGTTGCCATGTATGGTCTGGTTTACTATAGTTGCCATGATTTGAAAACTTTAGAGGTTGCCACCTACTAACACTAAGCAGTTACCATGTATGGTCTGGTTTATAACAGTTGCCATGATTTGAAAACCTTAGGAGATGCCACCTACTAACACTAGGCAGTTGCCGTGTAGCGCTACAAAAAGATATACAAAACAACATGTCCGGGTAAAGAGAGAGTTGACATTTGCTTACGAGCACACTGGGGTAGTTGTCATGTACCCTGCAAAACACATGGCAACTGACATGTTCGGGTAAAAAAAAGAGAGAGTTGTCATCTGCTTACAAGCAGAGTGGGGCAGTTGCCATGTACATTGCAAAACGTATGGCAACTGGCATTTTGGGTGTGGGAGAGGAGATGGCGTGTAGGCGAGATGGCAGATGCCCACACACCAGTCCTTGTGCGTGAGTGAAAACTGGCGTGTGGGCGAACTGCTAAACGCCCACACACTGGTCCCTCCGCGTGGTGAAACGGACGTGTGGGCGACCGGATGAATGCCCACACACCAGCTCAGTCCTATGTTGCATCATAAATATACCAAGATTCGTGCACCCACAAAACAAACGCGGATTCATGTGTGTGAGCGAGATGCAAACGCCCACACGTGTGGGCGTTAGTGTTTCCGAAAGAAAATATATGTGGGCTTGTGTGCACCATCGATCGAGTCACTAGCGTTGAACACTCGGTCGTCCAAGTTTTTAATGCTGAAATTTTTTCGACCCTGTTGTCATGCCTTAGTCATCAACTCTTCATCATCATCCATCGGGCATCAGTGCATACCTTTGCTTAGCCACATGCATGCAGTCCAAGCTAGTGCTCCCATCGTTTCAAAATAATTAAAGTTCTAGAATTTTTTAAGTCGACTACTTAAAGTTTAACAAAGTCCGTAGAAATATTCGTAAAGATCTACTCCCTCCGATCCAGAAAAGAGTGGCGTGACTTTAGTTCAAATTTAACCTGAAATTGAATTAAAGCCACGACACCTTTTTGAATGCAGTGGGAGTACAATATAAAAATATATAATACATAAATATTTTTCATAATTAATCTAATAAATTAATTTAGGTTTCGCAGATGTTGGTATATTTTATATAGAGTTGGTCGAACTTAATAAAGATTGATTTAGGACAATCCTAAGACTTCAATTATTTTGGAATGGAGAGAGTAGCATCTATGTTGTCTTGCTCCCCAGTCGACTGGGATTATTTTGCACAATAACAAATGTTATCATTTTTCACATATTTTTACAGTTCTTTTTAAGGGTACATATTTCTATTACAATTGTTATCTTCTTGTTTTTTCTTTAATGCTACTAGTTGTTCTCTTCTTTTTAAGCTCCTAAATAATTAACAAAAGAAAATGTATGTGGTCTTAAAACCCATTTCGTTTTTAGGTGGTTCACAGATCTATCTGATTGTAATTTTTATTATCTCTGATATTTTTTTGGAAATTATTATCTCTGATATTATTTATATTTCATAATTGAAAATAAATAGATTGGATGTTTCTCACGGAAAAAAAAGACCTCATATCATTCCAGAAAAGTGATTCTACCATGCACGGGATATCCAGTGCATGGCTAAACCGTCCATTTGGTTAGAGATGCATTCATGCCATGTACTCATTCTTATATTTAAATCCATCTGACAACTTTATGGAGTAAGGCTACACCAACTAGTTCTCTCTCCTGCACACTAGTACTAGATTTTATTTTGAATCTAAACTTTAAACAACCATATATTTTAAAATAAATAGTCTGTATGAACATGCGTTTTTCTTTCGATGATATCTTCGAAACAAGCTCAATATTTAATATGTTTGGAAAATATGAGTTTACGAAACACAATGAAACATGCATGTATGGAAAATTACATGATGGTTTTCGCGTGGATATATAATAATGTTCTGCTCTTGCGCACATTAGTAAGTTTATTAATAACAACGGGAAATAACTTGTGCAAATTGACAAAAAAACAGGTCTAACAATCATAGTTTCTGTAGTTTCATGAGGTTTTAAAATCCATGTTTCAAAAATGTTCAAATAATATTCATTGTTAGTCTTGTTGAAAAGATCTCGTTGCCAAGAACACAAATATGTAAGGAGAATCAAATTATATGTTTAAAAACTATAACAGTTTCAAATGAGAGATAGCTTAAAATCCATGGATGGATTGAGAAGAGAGAAAGAATCTTTACTAGGGGATAGGGTGGAGCCCGTGTGCTCATAATTAAGTTAATGATGATGCAATGCACGTTATCTCCCGTGCATGGTAGAAAAACCAGTCCCCATATCGTTCCTGTTGTTTGCATGCAGCGCTGGAGCTGATCAAGAACGCGCAGGTGCAGGCCATCATCGGGCCCAAGACGTCGGCGGAGGCAGAGTTCGTCGCCCACCTCGGCAGCCGCGCCCACGTCCCCGTCCTCTCCTACTCCGCCACCTCCCCGTCCCTCTCGCCGGCGCAGACGCCCTACTTCGTGCGCACCGCCGCCAACGACTCCTTCCAGGCCACCCCCGTCGCCTCCGTCCTCGCAAGCTTCAGATGGCGCGCGGTGGCCGTCCTGCACGAGGACTCGCCCTTCGGCGCCGGCATCCTCCCAGCGCTCGCCGACGCACTCCAGAGCGTCGATAGCGCGGCGATCGTGGACCGCGTGGCCGTGCCGAGCAGCGCGGACGAAGATGCGCTTGATGCGCTCCTTTACCGCCTCAAGGCGATGCCGACGCGTGTGTTCGTCGTGCACGCCTCGCACAGCCTCGCCGCGCAGCTCTTCCGGCGAGCCAGCAAGGCCCAGATGATGTCCGACGGCTACGCCTGGGTCGCCACCGACGGCGTAGGCAACTTCGTGGACAGGTTCGACCCCGAGGACCTCGACTCCATGCAGGGCGTCGTCAGCCTCCGTCCTCACGTGGCGTACACGAACCAAGTCAAGAACTTCTCTGCGAGGTTCAGGGCGAGGTTCCGGAGGGAGAACCCGGCCTCCAACGATGACGTCCTCAACGACGCCACTGTGACGGGGCTCTGGTCGTACGACACGGCGTGGGCGATCGCCGCGGCAGCCGAGGCGGCCAGCGTCCCCGGCCCAGCATTTCGGACACCGCAGAATAGCACGGAACGTACAGACCTAGACCAGCTCGGCGTGTCGACCACCGGAGAGGCGCTTCTTAGCGCGATTCTCAACACGACGTTCGACGGGATGGCAGGCAGGTTCAAGCTGGTGGACGGGCAGCTGCGGGTCGCGGCGTACGAGGTCGTGAACATCATCGGGAACGGCGCGGTGACGGTGGGAGTCCGGCATCTCGCGGGACCTTAAAGACGGCAGCGGCAAGGCTGCGCGGCAGCTGAAACCCATCCTTTGGCCGGGCGAGATGTTGTCCCCGCCGAGAGGCTGGACGCCGTCGCAGAACGGGCGGGTGCTCAGGGTCGCCGTGCCGGTGAAGCACGGGTTCAAGCAGTTCGTGGACGTCGTCATCATCTCCGAGAACTCGACGACGCCGAAGATCACCGGGTACTGCATCTACGTGTTCAACGAGGTGATGAAGAACCTGTCCTACCCGGTGAGCTACCAGTACGTGCCGTTCCCCGACAGCCCGGACTCGTACGAGATGCTGGTGGACCAGGTGAGTGGGAAGAAGGCGGACATCGTGGTCGGGGACGTGACGATCACGGCGAGCAGGATGGAGGAGGTGGACTTCACGATGCCGTTCACGGAGTCCGGATGGGCCATGGTGGTGGCGACGGAGCCGGACACGAGCGGCAGCATGTGGATCTTCCTGCAGCCGCTCACCACCAGCCTTTGGCTCGCCAGCCTTGCCTTCTTCTGCTTCACCGGCTTTGTCGTGTGGGTCATCGAGCACTGCGTCAACCCGGAGTTCCGCGGCACGCCGTCGCAGCAGTTCGGCCTCATCTTCTACTTCGCCTTCTCTACCCTCGTCTTCTCACACAGTAATTCATTTACTCCCTCCCTCCGTTTTCTTTGTAGTCTAAATATAAGACTTGATCAAAGTTAAATTATACAAAGTTTGACTAAATTTATATAAAAAAATACAAACATCCACGATACTAAAGCTGTATGGTATGAAAATTCATTCCATGATGCATCTAACAATATTGATTTCATATTGTGATTGTTGATCTTTTTTTTTATATAATAAAGTTAGTCAAACTTTACAAAGTTTGCCTTTAATCAAATTTTATATGCACACTAAAAAGAAAATGGAGGAAGTACTAACCATCTTATCATCTTGATTATTTAATGAAGCATGCATATCGATCTCCTAAAATTAATCAATCTTTGATGTTTTAATTTTCCAGAAGAGAAGCTGGAGAGCAACCTGTCGAGGTTCGTGGTGATCATATGTAGGGCTGGACACGAGCCGAGCCGAGCCGAGCTTGATCCGAGCCTGGCTTTGGCTCGCTCTGGAGCGGCTCGGCTCGGCTCGGCTCGCTCAGCCAACGAGCCCACTTTAGGTGGCTCGGCTCGTTTTTGCAATGGCTCGGCTCAGACCGAGCCGGCTCGTGAGCCAGCTAGCGCCATAACATTTGGGAGGTAGCAGAACCTGTTTTTACATACCATTTTTGATCTTCTACAGCAATTAAACCCATAATTTGTAAAAGAAGCACTTTCTATTGCTAAAAATGCAACATCTAGCAGTCTATGGTTTAAAAAATGATCATAGTGATGAAAAATAAGCTTTCTTCTATAGAAAGTGTAGAAATTGAACAAATATGACTAAGAAAGAATTGGGCATCATTGCTTTTGAATTTTGGACAGCTCCTCCTTTGAACTTTATACGGCAAAAAATATTGAACGTTGACATCCAAACAATGCAATTTTGCATAGCATAACACTTAGTGCTTTGACATCAAAATGAGAATCTTTCTCCTCAAACAAAGTATCTTACTCATCCTCTTCCTCCTCATTCTCTTCCTCCTCTTCATAATCCTTCTCTGCTTGCTTATCATGCTCCATTGCCTAGCACAGAAAAACAGCACACACATGAGCTTGGACACGCATATATTTGACTTTTTGATAGCAAGAAGAGCACATCCATGAGCTTGTACAAACATATATTTGACTCTTGGATACCAAAAACAGCATATGCATGAGCCTGTTCAATCTTATATTTGACTTTTGGATACCAAAAACAATACATACATGAGCTTGGACACACATATATTTGACCTTTGGATAGCAAAAACAGCAAACACATGAGGTTGGACACGCATATTTGGCACAACCATACCGGTGAAGATGCAGTCTCCCTCTCGGAGTCGTTTGCGAAGCCGTTGGCAGGGGCGATCGTGGCACGCCCGCTGGCGTCGGCGGGGTCAGCAAGACGTCAAGGCGGTGGAGCTTTTTTTTACCCATAATAACAACTCGGCGAGCGGGACATTGCCGTAATCCTTGGCCCGCTTCCTTGGCAGCGACACAGCCCTTGCCCTTCCCCTTCTGCTTCCAGGGGCAGGCGGCTTAGCCTTCATAATGGAAACCAAATTCCTCTCTTTCTCCTTCTCCTCCTCCTCTCCTTCCCCTTTTCCTTGTCCATTCTTGCGACAGTGGGGCTCTTCACACATCAGCAAAGAACAAATGGTCAATCATCAACAAAAATTTACATAGATAATAATCAGTCTACATAATCCAGCAGAAATAAATTCATCGATCCATCAATCAAATTGGTGCAGCATCCGTCCTAGCTAGCGGCACTCTCCAGCCAACGAACACAAGCATCCATCCATCAATCAAATTCAGCATCCATCCATCGCGTTTCCTAGCTAGCTGCGCTCTCCAGCCGATAGCCACAAGCATCCATCCATCCATAAAATTCGTGCGTGTGTGTGCGCCAGTGCAGGGAGCTAGGGCTAGGGATGGGAAGGAGAGAGGAGATCGCTTACCTGCCTGTGTCGTTCAGCGAGAAACCAGGGGAGACCCGTCCGCCTGCGTCCGTTGTGGTGAGGGAAGGCGGCGTCGCCCGTCGCCGTCGATGCCGCCGGGCAGAGGGGTGGCGGCGCCGGGCAGAGAAAGGGATAAGGGCGAGGAAACTGCTTGCGTGCGTGCTCTCTCTGCTGTGACCTAACGCGATGCGAGGCCGACGGGGGATTGGGCTGGGCCTCAACGAGTCACCGAGCTGGACCGGGCGGAACTCGGCTCGGCTCGGTCGGGAGTCGGGCCTATTTTTCATAGCTCGGCTCGTTTAATTATCCTATCGGGCCGAGCTGTAACGGGCCGAGCTGGAGCGAGCTTCGAGCCGAGCCTAAAAGCTCGCTCGGACGTCCAGCCCTAATCATATGGGTGTTCGTGGTGCTGATCTTGACATCGAGCTACACAGCGAGCCTGACGTCGATGCTGACGGTGCAACAGCTCCGACCGATAGTGACAGACGTGAAGGAGCTCCAGAGGCGCGGTCAGTACGTCGGGTACCAGGAGGGCACCTTCATCAAGCCAAGGCTCAAGAAGATGGGCTTCGACGAGCGAAAGATGAGAAAGTACAGCTCGGAGGAGCAGCATGCCGACGCGCTGTCCAAGGGCTCGGCTAACGGCGGCGTGGACGCGGTGTTTGATGAAATCCCGTACCTGAAGTTGTTCCTGTCGCAGCACTGCGACGGGTACATGCAGGTGGGGCCTGTGTACAAGACAGACGGCTTCGGGTTCGTCTTCCCAAGGGGGTCGCCCATGACAGGGGATGTGTCGCGGGGGATCCTGAACCTGGCTGAAGGGGACACGATGGCGCAGATCGAGAAGGCGTGGTTCGGCGAGCCCGGCACTTGCCAGAATGCGCTGGGCGGCATCGGCAGCGTCGGCGGCTCGTCAAACCTCAGTTTCTGGAGCTTCGGCGGGCTATTCCTCATCACCGGCGTCGTCTCCAGCCTCATGCTGCTGCTCTACCTCGCCATCTTCGCCTACCGTGAGCGCGAGGAGCTCCGGGAGGCCGAGGGGAGGGCTGAGGTTGAGGCCGGCTCCGGGAGCGTGTCGGTGCGGAGGCTGCGCGCGTGGCTGCAGCACTTCGATAGGAAGGACCTCAAGTCACCCACCTTCAAGGTGTGGAACGACGAGTCCGTAAGAAACGGCAGTGACTTTGCGGGTAGGACGCCAAGATGGAATGGCAGCGCTCGTGACGCTAGTATGACGCCGAGGGCCAGTGGGGAGGAACACGCAATGGAAGGGACGACCCCGCTGAGCGTGCACATCAGCTCCGAGATGAACGCCGGCTCTTCGACGGAGAGGACACCAGTGTCGGAGATCAGTGAGTCATTCGAGAAGAGGATCGAGGGGGCAACAACCGCTATATGGAGGTGACAAGGCCAGCGGCCTCTTAGTTGCAGTAGATTCTGCTATGTCCGTTCCTAAATATAAGTATTTTTAGAGGTTGTAATAAGAAGACAATATAGGAAGCAAAATGAGTGAATCTACGTTCGAAAATATATTTTTATATATTTGTATGTAGTCCGTATTAAAATTTCTAAAAAGACTTATAAAAGCGTTAGTGTCTAAACGCTCTTATATTTCCTTACGGAGGGAGTATTTAGAAACGAAGGGGTACTAGTTTTGTAGTAAGATTAGAACACATTTGCATGGGGAGTGGGTTGGATTATAAATGGCTGTCAGGACCCCGACTCCATGCCACATCGATCTAGCATGTAACACCTCATATCACTTTGCGGCCTCACGCACGGTATTCCCACGGGTGTCGCCTTACCTTTGCCCGGGACCGTTTGCGCCTTTTGGCACACGTATATGACAGTGTCGCTAGCATCCATATGATAAGGAGCCTGGGCTGACATGGCTAGTCGTAAACCCAAAGTGGCACAAACTTACAGGGACAGGCATCCATGACCCAGCATCGAACGTGTCGGTCATCAGCGAGTGAATCCAGGCTGTAGCACTGGGCTAGCAGGACTCCGGTGAACCGGGCTGTAGCGGGCTAACAGGACTCTGGTATTCATCGCGTGACATTTCCCCGAAGGGACAGACACAGGAACGAAGAAGGACACATGCCGGCCAGCCTAAGTGTTCCAGAGCAGTAGCAAGCTACCATGGCTCGG